GGGCGACGAGCCGGGGGCGGGCCCGCCGGCCCTCCCTGAGCTCCACGCCCCACCTGTGAACGAGGGACAGCAGCGCCCACCTTCGTGGGCTGTGGCAACAGGCCACGTGCCATGGCACAGGGCAGCATGCCAGGGTCCAGTCTCAGCACGGCCACCCAGCCAGTCAGCGACTTCTCACAGGCGGCCGGTGAGAACGCCTCGCAGGGGCTCCTGCAGGATTCATGGGGTGATAGGCTGGGGCAGCCCACAGTGAGGGGTGATGAGGGTGGGGAGTGGGCACACCTGCGTGGAACCACGTACGAAGGTGACAGCTCCAGTGCTAAGTGGTTTTTCTCAAACACCCAGATGAGAACACGCAGGCTTGGTCCACACGCCTGAAGACGAGGTTCACCCAGGGTTGTTTCAGACCGGAGTGAAATGACGCACAGTGGCTTAATCTCTATTAAACACACCCCAGGCTACTACCGAGGTTTGTGAAAAACCAGCACGTGCCAGTCAGAAACTAAACCCTGACCATGGTAGGGAGGCCACTCGGTTCTCAGACAGGCTTTGGTGGCAGAGGGAGTTGCGACCGTGACAAGCGCGGGCAGGGCGGGCAGTCTCGACCCATCGAAGGCAGCCGTCCCACCTTCCCAGGATGCGCCCGGAGCAGAGAGGACCACACCGCGTCAAGGGTCTGGGGCCGGATCCGGAGCAGCCAGGCACGAAGCTGTGCTTCAGCTCTGAAGTAGGTTCACGCCAACGCTGCCTTCGCTCCCTCGTGGTTAAATGTTAAAAGTGGTTTCGTTACTCACCGCTGGTTAACTGAGGCTCGGGCAGAACCTGCCAGCCCGGCCTGGCCCTGCAGGTGTGCGCGCAGTGGGCTGGCCAGCGGCTTCTCCCTCCTCCCAGCCCATGTGCAGATGTCACCACTGTGTCACGTGTCACTGGTGGGCAGAATCACCCACAGTGGCCCAGCGACCCCGCTTGTGGGCAGCCCAATGGAAGGGACGCTCCTGTCACCGAGGCTCAGGAATGTGCACGGCACGCATGCGAACCACCATGGAGCAGAAAGAACGTGCACGCACAGCCACACCCAGCGGGTAAGTGAGCCGTGCCGTCTCCCGCAGCGACGCACCACGCAGAAGCGACAAAGGACCGGCCAGCGCTGGTGAGCTCACGGCCACCACACCGCACGAAGCCACCACACACCAAGTACGTCCCCCGTGGTTCCACTTGTTCCCGGGAGGTTTGCACCCAGCAAACTAGTCAGTGTGACGAAGGCCAGAACAGTGGTCACCTCTGGGGCACGGGGGTGTCAGCAGAACAGCTGGTTTGTCCTAAACCTTCATTTGGGTGGTTACACAGACGAGCACAGGTGAAAACTGCGGTCTTCACTCCACCTGGAACTCTGCACGTGCCCGGCTGCCCCCCAATCCGGACTCCAGCCCCCACCGCCCGCCTCGCCGCCCTCCACTCCTGGGGTCCCAGTTCCTCCTCCCCGCCCCGCTCCAGCTGCTGCTCTGCAGCAGAAGCTGCTTGTGCAGCTGTCGGCCGCTGTCGCTAGCGGCCCTGTCTGTCCACTGCGACACGGGCATAGGTGAGCCAGGAGCTCCCTCACGCGCAGTCCTGCTGCAGGGGGTGTCCACACCTGTGCTCCAGCCTTCAAGCTGGTGACGTCGCACCTCGGGCATGGGCTCTGGGCTCTGGGACCGGGTGCCCAGGGTCAGGCCGGCTCCACCCGCACCAGCTCACGGCCAGGTGAGCGCCTCAGCCCGGTGCCTCTGCTTCCTCACAGGATGGGGAGCTCCCAGCTCGAGGGCTGGTCCTTGAACAGCGAGTATTTACTGAGAGCTTATTATGTGTCAGGCATTGACTTAAGTGCACAAACCAGAGAGGCCAAAAGCCCAGCCGCGAGGGAGTTTATTCCCGTCTGGGAAACTAAGTAAAATAAAGACGTGAGCAGTAAAGCACGTTGAATGACGACAAACGCCGTGCAGAATGAAGCAGAGGAGACCCGTCCTGGGACCGGGACGGGAGCCGACTTTAGGGGGAGGCAGGGAGGTGCCACTATAGGGACAAAGACCCGAAAGAAGCGAGGGAGTGACTGCATGGACCTCTGGGGAAGACCCCGCTGGACAGGGCGCCGCCAACACCAGCCCGCTGCCCGGCTGACGGACAGCAGGCGGGCCCGCGTGGAGCCGTGTGCGGGTCCTGTGGTCAGCCACAGGGATGTGGGGGCGGGAGGGGCCCGATCCGGCTGGCGTCAGCACTGTGGGCTCCGCCGTGCTGCAGAACAGGGCGGGGGGAGGACGCGGGGCGCAGGCCTGGAAGAAGCTTCGAGGCTGTTTGGCACTGGCTGTGACGGTCCAGAAAAGCATCTACCTGGACCAGGGAGATGGGCAGAACCGGGAGAAGTGGTCAGATGAGAGATTCTGAAGGTCGAGCAAGAGGACTTAGAAAACGGACACAGGGCGTGAGAGAGACAGTGGAGGATGACTCCAGACGGGCCGAGCGGCAGAGGACGGAGGCGGCTGCCCGCAACTCCGGCGGGAGGGAGCGCGGAGCATCGGGGGGCTGCGGTTTGGCTCGCACGCATTAGGTCTGCGACCTCTCCTAGACACCCCGGCAGAACGGCACCGAGGGCAAACGAGGCCGAGACTGGAGAGGGTCCCCAAGTGGTCCCCAGGGGAGGGAGTGTGGATGGAAGGGGACAGGAGTAGCAGGCCGAGGCCAGGCTGTGCCGCCAGCGGAAGTCAAGGAGAAGGGAGCAGCCAGGGACACGTGACGGCGTGGCGGTCACCTGTCTGCTGCTGCCAGGAGGCTGGGTGAGACTGGACCTGCGCCAACCACTGCTCCAGCCACGGGGACACGGGGCCCTGAGAGAGCAGCCTGGGAACCAGGCCGGGGGAAGAGCCGGGCTGGAGGGGCTCAGGAGTGGAAGCGAGTCTGGGGGAGCGCGACAGCGGGGGTGGGGGCGGGAGACGCTGCGGTGGCTGCTTCCTGCTCTGTGTCAGGGAGGGGAGGCGTCGGCGTGCTCCTCTCTAGATGCCACAGACCCAGCCGCGGGGAAACCGGTTCTAGAATCAGGTGCACTGACACACAAAAGGCTGGCCAGGGCTCCGCACACAGCACGGTGTCAAAGGTGTGGATGGCGGTGGCGGTGTTGACGTGACGTGACATGCCAGCCCCCACTTCCAGACGCAGGCTCTCGAGAGCACAGGCCAGGTCCTGCTCCTCTGCTCGCTCACCGCCCCCCAGCCTGGCCCCCACAGTTGACGACCACCTCACACCCGCGTCCTCCGCCACGCTCTGTGCAGACACCCAGAAACGGTCCCCCTAGGAACCGACTCACAGGAAACCCACGGGGTTCGTCAGCAGTGCGAGAACCGCCAAGGTAAACGGGCGGAGACGGGCAGCCTGGCCGTCCCCGCCCTTGGTCCCAGCTCCTCCAGCATGAGAGGACGTGTGGGTGGCAGCGAGGCCGGTCGGCGTCGCTCCAATTCTACTGTTAGAGCCGGAAATGACAAACGGGGCTCCTCAAAGCCCTGCCTGCCACCGACCCAGAGGCTGCCCGGGGCAGGGACAGGGCTGGGTGGGGGCCCGTGTGCCCACACAGCTGCAGGTAAAGCACTGGCCTGGGGGACTCCAGGCACACTGGAACTTCCGAGTCCCACTTTTCTCCCTGAAGCCTGGAGTCTGGGCTGGGGGGCTCTGCGGGCGCTCAGTGTCTGCCCCGGCGGTGGTCGGACATGAGCAGGATCCACAGCCCCGCACATGCACCCACAGCCCCCCATACGCCCCCCACAGTCCCACACATGCCCCCACGGCCCCGCACACACCCACAGCCCCGTACACACCCCCATAGCCCCGT